AAATAGTACAATTTTATATAATAATTTATATTATATTATTATTACTCATTTACATTATTAGCTATATTACTTGATACATCTAAAATAATTGGTTGTCAACTCACCCCTTTACTGTTCATATGAACAGTAAACGAGGTGGTCCTCTTTTTTTAAATTTTTTTTATTTGCTTGATATTAAATTTTTTAATTTTTTTTATAAAATTATTGTAGTCTCAAATAAATATCCTGTTATTTTGATATATACTTAATTACATAAGCATTTTTTTTTATTATTATGTAATTATATAAAAAATAGTTTTTTTTAAAAAAAAATATTAAGCTGGGTTGAGTTTATAATCTAAATTATAAATTTAATGGGTTAACCTTCAAATTCCATATCAATTGCATATATTACCATTTAGTATTAAAAAAAATCATTTTAGTTTCTATAAGTTAAATTATTTTTTTTACTGAATGATGGGATTGCATCGAAACCTATCACATAAATTAGGTCACATCAAAATAATTTTTATATAATTTAATTTTAAATATAAATTAAATAAAAAATCAATTCTAAAAATTTTAAAGCTAATTAGGTAAAACAGATTTAATAATATTCTCAAGTAATTCCTTGCATTCTAGATATTTTTTTACATTCAAATTTTTTTGAATTTAAGTTGCGGTGAAGAGCGACCTTGTAACTAGTTGGGCTCTAAAATGGTTTGAATACTTTTAAGGATAGGTCATTGTTAAGATATTCAAGCTATTAATTACTATAGTTAAATACATATTATAATAATGTTTTTTAAGAAACTAATTTAAACTATATATATGATGAAGTATTTTAATTATGTCAACCAAATTATCATATGATGTTTTTTTATTTAATTATTGAATCTCATTATTAATTTGGGCTAGTGATGGATAATACACAAAACTTTTATATATATATATATATATATATATATATATAAACCATTATAGCTATTTGGACCAAGCCCGAGCTGTTAAAGATCCTAATCATTTGGCCTAGACTAAACCACCTCTCTCTCATCTATTTTGAATGGGTTATCTAATACCTACCTCCAAGCACATATCTTAATGTATTTTTTCTAGTTCAAGATGTTATGCATTGCTTACTGGTGCACATACACTTCCACACATATAAATTATGTGTACAAGCATAGGAATACCACCAATTTGTGCACCATGACGTGCCTAAGTTATTTGTGCAGAGAAGAGATATCAACATATCAATCAATATTATAATGAGCACCACAAATTAATAACAAGCATAAATTTATCTAATAATGATATTTGTTTTTTTTATTTACCATGAGGTCGCTTAATTTCACTTACCATAAGTTACTTGTAACTTTATGCATTGCAAGGTATCTACAACACCATTATCCATTCTCCACAAGATAAACATGATTCAGGTCTATAAATGCCTTCCAGTCACCTGGATGCAGAGGCTCAAGTCATTCAACAATTCAAGAATAACTTGTTCATTCATAACATATAGTTTTGCTCATGCTCCTTATTCTATGTATTTTTTTTCTCCTTACACACTTCAGCCGAAAACACTTCTATGAAAAGCCCAATCCAATCATGAAGTTTTCATGATTTTATTAGTTACACAATTCATAAAATTTTTAACAAGAGCTACTTCATTCCATTTTCATATCTCTCACTTAAAATTTTTTTCTATAGCTAACAATTTGAAAACTCCAGGGAATGGGAAGGTAACTAATCTCTAAACCACCACAAATACTCTAGCTATTCTAGATGAGGATATCAAAAAATATTTTTAGAGATTTAATGAGAAAATAATTAATATGGAGAACCTGTTCAAACATATCATTACAAGATATCTTTAGATGAAGATACTAATGGTATTATTTTCTCCATTTACTACGAGGTTGATCAACATTACTCACTATATGGTACTTGCAACTTTATGTAATATAAGGTATTTGTAACATCACTTTTCATAAAATAAGTGTTCATAAAATAAGTGTGACCAAGATTTATAAATTCAAACCTTGTAACATCACTTTTCATAAAATAAGTGTCACCAAGATCTATAAATTCAAATTATTCAATAATTCAAAAACAACTTGTTTATTCACCACACATATTGCTCATGCTCTCCTCTCAACACATTTTTTTCTTGCTCCTTACATTATTTCTTTTTCTTATATATATATATATAAAACGACATGTTTTTGTATGAAAAACCAAGCCTAAAGATAAAACCTATATATAAACCTACACACTTCAGCTCAAGATGCAATGATGAAAAACTTAACCTGATTTTAAAGTTTTCATTACTTCATCAATAACGAATTTTATTATTTATATACCATAAGAAAAATATTTACTGAAATATTTGTTTTAACCTTCAAACTTAGGATATTCTTGTATATTAAAATCAATATTTTCTCAATTATATTTTAAACTTACTATTCGCACTCGAATTGATATATTGAGAAAAGGGATACAAACAATATAAAAAAGCAAACCCATCTTGCGAAACGGGCTAAGTGATCAAAAAAATGAGACAAGTTGTATAAGTTAACGTATTTAGACCCGATATACTATATACATGTACGAGGAAAGGAACCGAAATTCTCACTGCATAGGCACAAAGGACACGTGCTGTAAATAACTTTACGAACAATGAATATTCATGCGTGAGAATTTAGGTAGATCGATGATGAATCTGTCGGCACTCATACATATCGGTTTTGATGCTCTATTTTCACTAAGCAAGGAGCTAGCGAACCATTTATGATCCCCTTCTACTGATGTACCCACGCAAAACCTTGGAAGGAAATTGTCATGTCGGCCAATCCAATTCAATCTGAAAAATACATGGTTGTTGAAGTGTCATGCATAAATGACAGCAATCCATGACTATTTACCTGCCCGTGTGGCGTTGTATAATTAGAGCCTGAAAAGAGCGAGCAGGTAAAATCGTCCTTTTCAGTACGCTATGGATAAAACGTGCAGATCAATGCATTATTCCATGCATGTACCCCGGTTAAATCATTTGAGGTTGATCTCAGTTCATCTTATCAATACATAATCATGCAGCTAACCATGCTTATCTTTAACATTAATTAGACGGAGCCCACGCAACTTGACATATTTTGCTTATTAGACTGTGTATGAATGGGCATGGCGACGTCAAAACAATTGCATCTATTGACCAATAATTGTGGTTGGATTATCAATTGTGTTCATTCAGTAGAAATCCACACAGTTTAGATAGAAGATTGGACAGTCGGTTAGTTCTTTGTCAATTGTCAGCCCATGAGACGTGTATGGTATAAGAAACAGTCCGATGATGTTCAAATCAACTGCAATATATATATTTATATACTCAGTAGGGATGAATGCAGCTAGATTATACATGTTAACCCGTGATCGAAGGTAAGAGGCGTAAATTTAACAGTATATGCTGCTTTCTACTGAATCATCAAATCAGAAAGGAAAAAAATCAATAATTTTAGTTGCTTTCTGATCCCAAAAAGGATTACTTATACTGCAAGTATCAAAATTAAAATCATTATAAGATTTTTGAGATATTGGTTAGTATAACAAATGAGTTTGTTCGAGAACGAGTTCCAGCTGAGGCCATCTAGATTAGAGCCAGCAGTCGATCCATGCAAAATCTCTTTCTTCGATTCACAATTGGATATCGAAAAAATAATGAGAAAATAATGATCATTGATCAGTAACGGAGCCCATTAGGGAGCAAATATTCTAACGCACATGTTTATCTGCCCTCGCTTTAATTCTTCCTAACAAGTTCAAAGCTATCTATGTTTTCTTTTTTCTTTGTTAATAATTAGTGAGCTTAAATCCTTGCTGTGTGAAATGGGTAAATCATGGATAGGTTGTCGTCAGCCAGACATTCCTACGTACTAAGTGATGAGATCCATGGACCGGGTGAAGCCTCCAAGGGCGGAGGCTATGGGATTTTTTCACGAGGAGACAGAATCAGAGGGAGATTCATAACGGGGTGCACAAGCTGCCACGCCGTTCTTTTACCACTGCGAAAGCGGCGCACCCAACCGGGATCAAAGTTGAAGGTTTCTGTCCAACCTCTTCACTACGTGTTGCCCAATTTGTATTAATATGCATCCTTTGTTCTTACGCAATTCTTGAACTAGTAAAAACATTTGTTCTTCACGTATTTTTTATATTTGTTGAAATAAAATGCTTCAATATTGTTTTTTAATTAAATCAGCCATGATTGATCAATTATAATCAATCATAAATTAACCATATACGTGACCAGAATTGATAATAATATCTACGATGATCGATCAACTAAGTTATTATATACATAATAAGTTTAAATAGAGTTTGCTATGTGTTTTCATATTTTTATTAATTTTGCTAGCAAAGTAGCCTTGGCATGTTGGTAAATGAACTGAACTTATTGACACAGTTTGTTTATTGACTCCAACACACCATTTAACAGCTACAAACACATTGGTTTTTGTCCTTGAACTTACCAAGAAGCCAAAAACCTGATTAATTACACTTTTCCATTACTATTAGTATCATTAATATTCTCAATCTATCATACATTATTTTGAAAAGGAAACTTCGCCTTTATTGAAACATGTATAAAGCCAAATCTTTGTAGGGTCGATGATGATGGGATACGAGAAGAAGGAATTACAACAGGGAATTTAGCGACGTGTCACACGGACGGACAAGGGACCCTTGACACTCAAGCCAATCCACAATTGCAAGTGACCTCTTCTGCTTGAATGGCCATGAGATCTTGACGAGCTAATTACTCTGCTCAAATTACACAAAAATATAATGTCCGTCACTCTGAAGAAAAACAAAGAAAATTAAAGAAAAACCTTCCGAGTTATACGGATTCTGACTTTTCACTACATTAAGGTCGGGTTAGGCAACCCCTTTTACCATAATGCATACAAATTAACCCCAAACTCATCACCCTATCACTCTTTTACCATAATGCATACAAATTAACCCCGAACTCATCAGCCTATGAATAGTGCTAGCAGCTCACCAGTCTTTATAAAGGGCCATCATCAAACTCTTTTCAAGACACAAACTTGTTCATCCACAAAAACACAGAATCTTAAACCGAGAATGGCCGAAATGTTAGTCAGGTCTCTCTTCTGCCCCTTCATCATTGTCAATACCCTGGCCCTAGCAGCATGGTCGTATGGGCTGAACCAAAGCCGAAACCAACCCTCTTCCTTAGCCACCACAGTCGCGTACCATGGAGGCCCTCTCTTGACCCGACCGAGTGGCATTAACATCTACCTTATATGGTACGGGGCTTTCTCTTTGAAGGATAGAACCACAATTACAGATTTCTTTGCTTCCTTCAGTCCCAAGGGCCTTGTTCCCCACCAAGAATCCAGTGTCTCAACATGGTGGAGAACTGTCACTTCTTACAAAGACAAGACTCATACCCCAGTTTCCAGGATTGTAAGACTCGTTAAACAAGTTGGCGATCCATATTCTTTAGGAAAGAACCTCAAGCGTGCCCAAATAGGCAACCTAGTCAACAACAACATAGTAATTAGCAACAAATTACCAGTAGACTCTAACGCCATCTACTTGGTTTTGACTGCTAAAGATGTGAGCGTGGAGAGGTTCTGCATGGATTCCTGTGGTTTCCATGATAGCGTTTTGGTGACCCCTAAGGGAAGCGTGATAGTATATGCACACGTAGGGGACGCGGTGCAGTGTCCTGGTTTCTGTGCATGGCCTTATGCACTTCCAGCTTATGGTCCTCCAGGCCAGGCCCTGGTTGCACCTAATGGTGTTGGGGCCGACGGCATGGTTATCAATATTGCAACTATTCTTGCAGGAGCTGCCACCAACCCTTTCAAGTCCGGGTACTTCCAAGGTGATATCTTGGCACCGCTGGAGGCTGTCTCAGCATGTCCTGGAATATTTGGTGCTGGAGCTTATCCAGGATATCCAGGAAATTTGATGGTTGATAAATCTAGCAAGGCAAGTTATAACGCTTATGGTGCGAATGGTAAGAAATTTCTCCTTCCTGCGGTTTGGGACTTGGTGGGCTTGACCTGCAAGGTTGTTTGAAATTGAATTTAATTTAATTGTGATTTTCGAGGCCATGCTATGCACAAACTGGAAATAATAATAAAAAAAAAAGGTATTACAGAGTCGCAAAAAGTAGCCAGACTCTTCTGTATTACAGAGACGCATAAGGTCAATATCCATATGAACGTCTTTTATTTTCTTATCTAAGGGAACTACATGCCCAAAAATATGCCATTACTACTACAAGGAAATAAAAATAGCGACAATATATCACATTTGAGTAGCGTGGCTAAGATTGTTTTCCTGGAGATGTCACATCAACTAAAAGATGAATCAGCTATTCTTTCATTCTTCTCATTGCAGCAATTTGCTGACATGGACCTATTTTGATTTCCATGGCTGCAGAACTTGCGATGTGTAATGATATGCAGGATGTCAAAAACCTAGTACCCGCACATGCCATACCTTGCTTATAATAAAGCAAACAGGAGGGCTAAATATGCGAGACTACAGAGATGTAAAACATTCTATCGTGAAGCTGACAGAAGAGCGACATGCTACTGAAACATGCATGTGCACGGATATAGAGCATTGTATTACTTAACCATAAAAGCCATTAAATTACTCGCCACAAAAATATTATTTCTTTCACCGCAGCATGCAAGTTTTTCTGGTATAACTAGTCCCATCGGCCACAAACGAGGGAGGATTCCCCTTATTAACCTCATCAGTGGCTCCGGCTGCTTTTCTGAAAAATGAAAGAAGCCCTCTGGTGGGAAACCTCTAACAAAATTGTCCAACAAAATAGTGCCACTATTAACCACAATAGTTTGTACCGAGTGATTTAACATGTTGCAGAGTTAAAACAGAAAACCTTGTTGTTTGATGCTCGAAGTCTTGGGAATCAATTCTCAGAAACTGGAAACTTTTTACTAGATTGCAATCGGATGGCACGATCATTTTTTTCAGGGACCACGAGGTTATCAAATTCTTTACTGGTGAGCACTCCAAGTTTCAGTGCAGCATCCTGCAGAGGTATTTATTGTAAGATATATATTTGATCACCTCCAAAAACGACAAATGGATTAAGCACCAATAGACTTGATTTCGTAAGAATCAGTTTCATGCATCTAACAAGGCAGAAATCATTACCCCTACAATACATGCACATCACAAGGCATGAACCCAAAATATAGAGCGGAATAACTAAGATGAGTAGAAATCATCACCTTCAAAGTACTTCCCTCCTTGTGGGCTAGCTTGGCAACTGCTGCAGCTTTGTCATACCCAATTTTCTGGAATAAAGGTGGAACCATGGGTTAATATTCCACACATAAAATCAGGAGAAAATAAAACATGGACATGGTTTAGAAACTTACAGGGTTCAATGATGTGACAAGCATCAGCGACTGCAAGGCCATGCAAATTGCCAAAAGCAATGAACCATGATCAGCGAGCTTTCAGAATATCAATGCAAAATAAGTTTAAATGTTCTGTAGTTGTTGAGAACTGACCTCGTGCAGTAATTTTGAAATTATTTCCCTATTGGCTTGAATTCCCCTCACACAGTTCTTTTCAAAGGAAGCAGATGCATCCCCAAGCAATCTTAGTGACAGCCAGAAAAAGGTCAAACGCACTTGTTGAGTAAAATGGACCACATATTTAGTTTTCTCAACCAAGAGTAAAGCACAAAAGTTGAGTAAAACATCACCAATCAGTAATACAGCACAGCAGAATAATCAGCATCCTCATATCAGCTAAGAAAATGCTATTTGATTTCACATGCTATCAAGGGTCCATCACCATAAGATTTTATTGCATGCATTTAGATATGCCAGATGGGAACAAACTCATGCATCATTATGCACCAGCAGCATTGAAAAATGAAATTCTAGAGAAATTTCTTGCAAAATCTGATTGCATTCAAAATCCTTGATTGATTATGACAAAACCTTGACAAAACCTTGAGCAAGAAATATGTGCTTATTTTTTCCCATGTTTACTAATTACCAGTGACTTCAAACAGCACCCATTACCTAACCTGGCTATCAAAGGTTCACAAAGTCAAAACTAACAAACTGAACTACTTTAAGGATATGAAAGAACCATCATATCAAACTGATTTTGCCTGCTGAAGCAAAATGAGCTCATGGTGGAACATCCAACGTTAAAGCACTCTTAAGAAAAGCAATATTTGAAACCTCAATATCAAAATAACAAGGACATCACAGATCCATTAACATACATTTAGGAGGCCACTAGCGATCATTGGCTTGAATACATTTAGTTCAAAGTGACCATTTGATCCACCAACTGTAATAGCAACGTGATTTCCCATAACCTGCAACATTATGAAAAAATGCATTAATAGCTTGATTGGTTTAAAGCAAGCTTGCAGCATACCTATTAAAAATGTGAATATGTAATCTTGGTATCTGCCTTCAAGGTCAGACAAGTTCTATAGTGGATCATATGATATTTAATGAGATGGAACTGAAAACAGTAGAAATTTACCTGAGCACAGACCATTGTGAGAGCCTCGCATTGAGTGGGATTAACCTTTCCCTGAAAAAGAAAACTCAAACATGACAACATTGCATTGCAATAAAATCTTAAAATGTGCTGCTGTGAATCCCAAATTTTAAGTCACGAGCAAACAAGATGGTGTGAGATTTACAGGCATTATACTACTTCCTGGCTCATTTTCAGGAAGAATGAGTTCACCAAGGCCACATCGTGGACCGCTGCAAAGGAAAACATTGTGAGCCACAAAAGTAAAGCACACAAGTGCGAGCGGGAAGAAGTGGATTATGCAATCTGCACAGACCTTCCTAATAAGCGTATGTCATTTGCAATTTTCATCAGAGAAGTAGCGACTGTGTTGAGTGCTCCACTAGTTTCAACAAAGGTATCATGCGCAGCCTGGAAAAGAAAGGCACTGCTTTAGCATGCAGAAATATTTTTTGTAGTGATAGATATAAATGTGCTATTTTTTGAAGTGACAGATATAATTGCACTATTACAACATTAATGAAGTTGGAAGAAAAAGAAGCTACAGTTATGAGGAACTTAGAAACCAACCAAAGCTTCAAACTTGTTTTCTGCCGGGACAAATGGCAGGTTTGTTTCTTCAGCCACTGCTGAAGCTATCTTTACATCAAACCTAGATGGGAGGAAAAGAATGATGATTGTCGAAGAACAGACATGCCTTGAAACTAAATATTCCAGTGAATAAAAAAAATGCAAAAAATAATTCATTGAAATGGTTTGTAAATATTCATATATAAATTCCATGAGATTTCAAGAAAACTGGATCTCTCCAAATTCACTATTTTCTTACAGATAATAAAAGATAAAACATAGAATTAATAGAATTATTTGAGCATGGGAAATGTTGCTATAAAAAGACAGTTTCTTTCCCCTTGGGGGTAAGATGGGAGAGGAACCTTCAAAACAAAGCTAGAAGGAAGCAAACAAACTGTGATTCCTGTCTTTGGGGTGATAAGAATCACAAACATTGAAGAGGCCAAATTTCCTTTTAGAAAAACAGGGCCTTAGAAACTAAACTCTTCACCCTTGAAGCCTTACAAACCCTTTCTTGGTGTTCAATCCAGTCCCCACAGCAGTTCCACCTTGTGCAAACTGCTCAAATAAAATCTCCAGTATGTCATAAATCTGAAGATAAGAAAAGAAAAGGAGAAAAGAATAGTAGAACAAATTTTACCTAATACATGTGTTGCCAACCTGATACAAGTGGGGTAGCGTGCACATGACACAGTCAATTCCATCCTTCACCTGTAAACAAGGCAAGAATCATCAGAAGCAAGCACAAACAACAGAGAAATATGGACAAAACTACTGGATCAGAGAAAAAGATACAGAAAATAGGAACCGAATTATCAGAAGGAAGCACAAACAGCAGAAAATGAGGACCCAATGACACAGAAAGAATATCTTACTTGTGTAGTGTAGCCACTAAACTCCTGCCCAAGTGTCAATGGTGTTGTGTCTTGAGTAGGTGTGCTCCAATCTTAACATTATCTTTGAATTCAACTGACTGGTTAGAACCGACTAGTATGAGTCCATGACAGTAGTAGCAGTATAAATACAAGAAAATTTGCGAATTAATGCAAAGGAAAAGGCTGATCTCAGAATGGAGGCATGGATAGTTAAAATTTCTAGAAGATTACATGTTATTTGAAAAATATAATAACAAGAATAATTACCAAAGTACATGAATATTTGGAAATTTTGTATTATGAAATTCCATGATGTGTGAAAATAAATCTAAGAAATTGCAGATTTGACAAAAACATGCATGGATAAAAATGTGTTAGGTCATCTTCTGGCATTAAGAAGAAAAGCACTTAATAGCAAGCAAACAAACATCACAATTGCTATGGTTCATGTCCTATAGTGTTTGGAAGTGTGGTAGCGACAACTTTTCAAAGTGCTTCTTACTTAAAAATGCATTAAATAATATTTTTTATTTTTTTAAAATTATTTTTGACATCAACACTTTAAAATGATCTGAAAGCATTAAAAAAATATTAATTTGAAGCAAATAAAAAAATAATAATTTTTTTCAAAAGCTCTTTTAAAACGCAAAAATAAAGAGACAAACTTCCCACCAATGAGTGCACCATAGATAAAGGAGCAGAACAACATAGGCCATCAACACTGGAGTAGAATATGCATAGATGTAATGCCAACCATGTAATGAAAAGGCGTGATCAACAGGCATAAATTAAAGGGAATTCCCAAAGCTAAAAACATTCTATTAAATGCACTGAACACATAGAAGCAGGTTCAACTCAGCCATATTTCTATTTGCTTGCGTACAACAAAAAAAATCAAAATGTTTCCTTTCTAAAACCACAAAAAAGAAAAAAGAAGAGGAGAATAAAGCAAAGTCAAACCTTTGAATTGAGCGTAGTGTGCAAAATTTTCAGTTTTGGTATTAATCTTGAATTTATCTCCATTCCGGCTGCAATATGCATTACCCAAATAAGAAAAAGATACAACTGATAAAACTGCTAGAAATAGGTATTTAATAGTTCACATGGATGGCTTGTGCGTTAAGTTATTGATTCAAATAGAAAATGTTTAGAAATAGTAAGATTTATTAGTTTGACACAAGTCCTAAAGTAAATCATACTTACAGTAGGGAATGTGTCATCAGAAGATTGTGATCTGTT